GCACCATGCCCGGCTACGACTACAAGCTGCTGGAGCGGCCGCGGCGGCGCCTGCTGTGCCCGCTCTGCGGGAAGCCCATGCGGGAGCCCGTGCGCGTCTCCACGTGCGGCCACCGCTTCTGCGACACCTGCCTGCAGGAGTTCCTCAGGTGAGCGCCCCGACGGCACCGCCGCGACGTCGCCCGCCAGCCCCGCCGCGTCACGCGGCGCCTCCCCGCCGTGGCCCGCAGCCCGAGGCGCCGCGAAGCCCCCGGGAGGAGGAGGAGGAGGAGGAGGAGGATGGGTTGGGGGGGGGCATGGAGGCCTCGCCGGCCCCGAGGGCTCCCGCTGCCCCCGGGGAGCGGCGCGGAGCGGCGGCCCGTGACAGGCGCCGCGCGGGGAGCAGCGGCCCGTGGCTCCCGCGGCGCGGAGGAAGAGGAGGGGACAGGAGCGCGGAGATGGGGGCTCAGCCCCTCCGAGCCCGCGGGCCGCGCTGCCCGGGCGGCCTGCGCTGGGGAGGGGGCTGCAGCCCCCGTCGCAGCAGCCCGGCCGAGCGGGGCTGCCCAGAGCCGGGGAAGGGCCCTGTGCTTGTCCCCATCCCTGTCCCTGCGGGGCCCGGGAACCCTTCCGGTGCAGGGGAGAGCCCGAGTGTCGCAGGGCCCCGTGCCCGACTTGTCCTGGTGCCTCCAGTGACACGTTGGCCGTGACCAGGGCCACATGCGCAGGCCTGGGCTCCTTGGCCGTCCTGCCCCCTGGGAATCTGATGCCCGCGGCGGGTGGCGCAGGGCTCGGCCTCACCCCCGCGGCACCGACCTTTGCTCGGAGCGGGGGCCCTTGGGCAGCGCCGCCGGAGCCGGGTTTCTGCGAAACCGGGCGTTCCCGGGGCCCGTGCCAGGGAGCGCCGCCTGCGCCCGCAGCCGCTCCCGGCTCTGCCCCGCACCGCCCGGACGCCGGGGCCCCCCGGGGCTCACGGGGTTGGTGCAGAGCTGTGTGCGGGAGCGCGACGGGCAGAGCCGAGCGGCACCGGTCACTTGCGGAGCCCCCCGGGCTGCACCCCTCGCAGCGAAGGTCGGGGGCAAGGACGTTCCCCGGGACCCTCCGCGCGCTGCCTCAGCACATTCCCTGCGCGGCCAAGCGTGAGGAATGGGGCCGGCTTTGCCGGGGATTAGGCGCCGGACCCCCGCCCCGCTCCACACGGAGCCGCCGCCGGACCCCGCGCTCCTCCGCATGGAGCCAGGCCTCCGCGCGCGGCCTCCGTGGGGCTGGCGGGTCCCCTCGTGCCTGCAGCATCACTGGCCACAGCCACCGTGACCCCCCTGCCTGGCGTCACCTGGAGAGGGACGAGTCCCCGATCCGGAGGCCCTGGTCTCCACGGGCGCACCCGCAGGGACAGCCAAGCCCGCGCGCGGTGGCAGTGCCATGTCCTGCTGCAGGGACAGCAGTGACAGCCTGTGCCCGCGCAGGCCGGCATCGCCCAAGGGCGCCAGGCGCCGTTAGAGCCGCCTGGGTAGGACAGGGTGACCCGTGTGCCCAGGGGCCACGCCAGGCTCCGTGCCAGCCCCGTGGGCCCGCTGCCCGTCCCTCCGCGGGGGCCGCGGCGCCGTTTCCTGGCGCGCGGCAGCCCCGGGGCTGCGCATCCGGGCCGCACATCTGGCTCGCAGCTGCGGCATCCGGCGCCTCCTCGCCGCCCCCTGCCTTGGTCACCCCCCAACTGTCCCCATGGCACCTGGGTCCCCGGTGCCCCCCGTCAGCCCCCCCGGTTGGAGCCCTCAGGGCGCTAATCTGGAGGGGGGCTGGGGGGTGGTCGGGGCTCCAGATGGTGCCGCTCAGGCCCCGCGCGCGGCGGGACCCTGGGGACGGCGGGGGGGCGTCTGGCGGGGGCATTTCCCAGCTCAGACAGATGGAGCGGCCGGGATTAGGGCTGCGGCGGCGCCGGCGCCGCTCTGAGCCCCGCTCTGCTCCCGCGCAGCGAAGGCGTCTTCAAGTGCCCTGAGGACCAGCTGCCCCTGGACTACGCCAAGGTGAGCGGGACCCCCCCGCCGTGTCCCCATGGGCTGGCACGTCCCCACGGGCTGGCACGGGCACCCGCGCTGCAGCCAGAGCCCTTTGTGCCGGCGGAGCCCCCTGCCCACAAAGGGAGCGCGCAGAGCGGGGGGTCTGGCCCCCGCCGGCGCTTGCCAGGCTGAGGGGGTCTCTGATGCCCCCCTGCTGCCCCCCAGATCTACCCGGACCCCGAGCTGGAGGCGCAGGTGCTGGGCCTGGCCATCCGCTGCATCCACAGCGAGGAGGGCTGCCGCTGGAGCGGCCTCATCAAGCACCTGCAGGTAGCGCGGGCACCGCCGGGGGGGTCCCGGCTGCGCCCCGGCCCTGCTCACCGGCCCCCCGTGTGCCCCCCCCGCCACCCCCCCCAGGCCCATCTCGGCACGTGCAGCTTCAACGTGGTGCCCTGTCCCAACCGGTGCAGCGCCAAGCTGAGCCGCCGCGACCTGCCCGAGCACCTGCAGCGCGGCTGCCCCAAGCGCCGGGTGCAGTGCGAGTTCTGCGCCAGCGACTTCACCGGCGAGGCCTTCGAGGTGGGGGCAGCGGCCGGACGGGGCGCGGGGGACGCCGCGGGGGGCGCGGGGTGGCCGCTGGGGACGTGGGGGACACCGCGGCGGGCACCGCGGCGCTGGGGGACGCCAGGGTTGTAGGCTGGTTGCAGGGGATGCAGCGTGGCCATGGGGTCACTGCCTGGCAGGGGACACCATGGAGGGCACGGTGTGGCCATGGGGGGGACCATGGGGACACAGCACAGCCATAGGGGACACAGTGTAGCCATGGGGGACACTGTGGAGGGCACAGCGTGACCGTGGGGACACAGTGCAGTTGTGGGGGGCACAGCTTGGCCGTGGGGACACTATGGAGGGCACAATGTGGTCACCATGGGGAGCACAGACACAGGGGACACTGCATAACTGTAGGGGACACTATGGAGGGCACAGTGTGGCCACCGTGGGGACACAGCACAGCCACAGAGGACACTGTATAACATTAGGGGACACTGTGGAGGGCACAGTCTGGCAGTGGGGTACATTGGAGGATACAGAATGGCCATGGGGACACCATGGGGGCCATAGCGTGTCCCTGCGGCTCCTAGGGGGACACAGAACGGCCGTGGAGTCCCAGGTTGGCCGGGGACACCCTGGAGGGCCCAGCGCGGCCGCGGGGGCACCGCGGGGCCCCGTCCCGGCAGGCGCCCCCGAGGGCGCGCGGCCGTGGCCCTGACGCCGCGGCCGGGTCCCCCAGGGCCACCAGGGCATGTGTCCCCAGGAGAGCGTGTACTGCGAGAACAAGTGCGGGGCGCGCATGATGCGGCGCCTGCTGGCCCAGCACGCGCTGGCCGAGTGCCCCAAGCGCACGCAGCCCTGCGCCTACTGCGCCAAGGAGTTCGTCTTCGACACCATCCAGGTGAGCGGCGGCGCGGGCCGCCCGCGCGCCCCGCCGCTGCCGCCCCGCTCACGGCCACGCGCCGTGTCCGCCCGCAGAACCACCAGTACCAGTGTCCGCGGTACCCCGTGCCCTGCCCCAACCAGTGCGGGGCGGGCAGCATGGCGCGCGAGGACGTGCCCGCGCACCTCAAGGAGAGCTGCAGCTCTGCCATGCTGCTGTGCCCCTTCAAGGAGGCCGGCTGCAAGCACCGGGTGAGCGCCGCCGGGGGTCCCCATCCCCTCGCACCCGCCTCGTGCTCCTGGGTTCCCCGCAGTGACGCCTCCCCTGTGTCCTTGTCCACGTCTCCCTGTCCCCATGGCATCCCCGTGCTCCCATAGGGTCCCCACGGCAGCGCCTTCCTGTCCTGGCGCCCCCACAGCCTCCCCAAACCACCCCCTGTGTCCCCACATGATCCTCACGGTGTCCCTGGGTCCCCTGTCCCACCCCGGTGTCCCCACAGCATCCTCATGGGGCCCCACCTTGTCACCCCGACCTCCCGCAGGGTCCCTATGGTGTCCCACAACACCCAGCTGTCCCATAGTGTCCCAGTGGTGTCCCACAACACCTGGCCACCCCATGGTGTCCCCTGCCAGCCTGTTGTCCCTGGAGGCCACCCCACACCACTGTCACCATGGCTGTCCCTATGACCTCAGGGGCCACCCTACACCACTGTCCCCATGGCTGTCCCCGTGACCTCGGGGGCCACCCCACGCCGCTGTCCCCGCTCACGGGCCCCGTCCGCAGTGCCCCAAGCTGGCACTGGGCCGGCACCTGGAGGAGAGCACCAAGGCGCACCTGGGCATGGTGTGCGCCCTGGTGAGCCGCCAGCGGCAGGAGATCCTGGAGCTGCGGCGCGACGTGGAGGAGCTCTCGGTGAGCAGCGACGGCACGCTCGTCTGGAAGATCGCCGACTACGGCCGCAAGCTGCAGGAGGCCAAGGCCCGCGGCAACCACGAGTTCTTCAGCCCGCCCTTCTACACGCACAAGTACGGCTACAAGCTGCAGGTCTCGGCCTTCCTCAACGGCAACGGCAGCGGCGAGAGCAGCCACCTCTCCGTGTACATCCGCGTGCTGCCCGGTGACTACGACAACCTGCTCGAGTGGCCCTTCTCCTACCGCGTCACCTTCTCGCTGCTGGACCAGAGCGACCCGTCGCTCTCCAAGCCCCAGCACGTCACCGAGACCTTCCACCCGGACCCCAACTGGAAGAACTTCCAGAAGCCGGGCGCGTCGCGCGGCTCCCTGGACGAGAGCACGCTGGGCTTCGGCTACCCCAAGTTCATCTCGCACGAGGACATCCGCAAGCGCAACTACGTGCGGGACAACGCCATCTTCATCCGCGCCTCCGTGGAGATCCCCCACAAGATCCTGGCCTGAGGCCCCGCGGCGCCCGGCGCCGCTCTCAGGGACCCCCCCCCCATTCCCTTGGGGGGCTGGGACCCCCCTTTCTCAGGTGCCGGGGGTGCCGGTGGGGCTGGCCCCCCCTCCCCAGCCCCTCGCCGCGGTGCCTGGCGCCCCCGGCCGCCCCCGCCGGGACCCGCCACCCACAGCCATATTTTGTACCCTGGTGCAAAGGGGACCACGGTTGTTATTTATTGTCCTGCCCTCCCCGGGGAGCCCCCCCCTTTCCCCGCGCCCCCTTTTCCGCCTCTTTTTTCAATAAACTTTTCTCATATTTATTGGCTGTCCTGTCCGGGGTGGGGGGGGCTGCTCCCAGCCCAAGGTCCCCCCTCAGGGCCGGCCGTGGGGGCTGGTCCATGACCCCCCATCCCTGCCGCAGACGGGGCGTGGGAGCAGCGGGATAATTCGGGAATTGCAGCCGGCAGCTCCGGGGGAGCCGAGCGTGATGGGAATGGGGGCCAGGAGCCAGCGGGGGCCACGTGGGGTGCCGGGCCACAAGGAGCACCCCAGGGCAGGGGGGTTGTTCCCCACTTGCTCTCGTGTCACCCCCGACGCTGTGAGGACAATGGGGGGGAGATGGGGGGGTCACATCCAGTGCTGGTGCCTGGGGCAGCCCCACGCTGCCAGCCCCAGAGCCATGCTGGTACCAGTCCCATTACGGTGCCGGAACCGGGACCTGCTGGTGTCAACTGGCCAGTGCCACCCAAGAGCGGTGCCCATCCGTGTCCCGGCCCCACCGTGGTGCCTGCGCCAGCCCTCGCGCCCATCCCGCGGCCGCATCCCGGGATCCCGCGGCCGCATCCCGGATCCCGCAGCCCCATCCCGGATCCCGCAGCCCCATCCCGGATCCCGCCCGCGCCATAGCGCTGCTCCCGCCGTGGAGCGAGGGCGCCCCCGCGCGGCCGCGGGCGGCACCGCAGCCACGGCCGGTACCGCTGGGCCCGGTACCCGCGGCAGCGGCCACGGCCGCCCCTGGGAGACTGAGCGAGCGCCTAACGCCGCTTCATCTATGTTGTATGTTGTAGACTCCTCTCCTCTCCTCTCCTCTCCTCTCCTCTCCTCTCCTCTCCTCTCTTTTTTTCTCGCCTCTTTTCTCTCCCCTCCTCTCCTCTTTTTCTCCTCATTCTTGTCCTCCTCCTCCTCTTCCTCCTCTTCCTCCTCCTCTTCCTCCCCCTTCCTCCTCCTCCTCTTCCTCCCCCTTCCTCCTCTTCCTCCTCCTCCTCCTCCTCTTCCTCCTCCTCTTCCTCCTCTTCCTCCCCCTTCCTCCTCCTCCTCCTCCTCCTCCTCCTCTTCCTCCTCCTCCTCCTCCTTCTCCTCCTCCTCCTCTTCCTTCTCTTCCTTCTCCTCCTCCTCCCCCTTCCTCCTCCTCCTCTTCCTCCCCCTTCCTCCTCTTCCTCCTCCTCCTCCTCCTCTTCCTCCTCCTCTTCCTCCTCCTCCTCCCCCTTCCTCCTCCTCCTCCTCCTCCTCCCGGCGGCTTCGCGCTCCCCACGACCGGGCGAAACACTTCGGGATACCCGCGGGAGGCTCCATCGTAGGAGGGGGGGACTTCGAGTTTCTCCCCCTTTTTTTTTCCCCCTCTCTATTCCTCCCCTGATTTTGGTTTTCCTTGAAAGCCAAGTGTCGCCGTTGGTTGTTTCGCGTTTTTCCGCGCTACCTGCGCGGGTCTGCGCTGGCTCGGGGCTGGCGGGGGGAGGGGGCAGGTGCTC